AATGAAGATGTTGAAGATCAAGCAGAAAACCTGAAACTAAAAATAGATGAAATCATGAAAATTTTAGGACTTACCTGGAACAGAAGAACCGATGAATTTGAATACGTAGTAAAGCTTCCACAGCTCTCTCCTCCTGTAACAAAAAGAAAGGTTATTTCAGAAATTTCTCGATTATTTGATCCTGTTGGTTGGCTTGCGCCAGTAATAATTACAGCCAAAGTCTTTATACAGAAATTATGGCTCTCGGGAATTGAGTGGGATGATGAACTTCCTCCACAATTACTGAAGGACTGGCTCAAGTATAGAAGTGAATTAGATTCACTTACCAAATTTAGTATCCCACGCTGGATCAACATCAATAATGATGATAAAGTTCGCGAATTGCATGGCTTCTGCGATGCTTCAAATGTTGCATTTGCGGCAGTTGTGTACTTGCGAGTGGTTAACTCCAATGGGGAAGTTAATGTTGCATTAATTGCTTCCAAAACAAAGGTAGCGCCCATTAAACAAGTTTCGATTCCGAGATTGGAGCTTTGTGGAGCTGTACTACTCACAAGACTGCTACTTGAAGTGTCTCAAGCCATGGGTATGGAGAAATGTTCTATTCATGCGTGGACCGACTCACAAATTGTGCTCGCTTGGCTTCAAGGACAACCTAGTCGTTGGAAAACCTTTGTCGCCAACCGTGTGTCGGAGATTATTACTTCGCTGGAACCGCAGCAATGGCAACACGTATCTACCAAGGATAATCCTGCAGATTGTGCATCGCGCGGCAGTACGCAATGGGATGTTCAACTCTGGAAGGAAGGGCCGAAGTGGCTGCAAGAAAAGGATATAAATTTTGCAAGAGGTCAAATAGAAGATACAGATCTAGAAGAAAGAAAAATGAAAATTTGTTTAATTAATACTCACAGTGATGAAGCAGATCCCGAAGAAGAAATATACTCACGGTTTTCATCTTTGAGAAGACTGCTCCGCGTTACTGCACTCTGTAAAAGACTAATTAAAAGAATGAGAAAAAGGGAAGTAGAGGATCAGAAGGATTGGATAACAAGTTTTGAAATTAGAGAAAGTTTAAAAATATGTGTTAAAAGATGCCAAGAAAAACATTTCGGTGAAGAGCTTGCAGATTTAAGAAATAAAAAAGAAATAAATAAGAAAAGTAAGCTTACCTCACTCAATCCAACAGTTGACGAAGACGGTATCCTACGAGTAGGTGGCAGACTGCAGCAGGCAATCCTTAGTGATGAGAGAAAACATCCTATCATTCTTCCTCGCAAATCACAGTTTACAACTTTGATTATTGCGGATGCTCATGAGAGAACATTTCACGGCGGTCCCCAATTGATGCAAAATTATTTGCAATCAAAATACTGGATAATAGGTGCGAAGGATTTAGTACGACTGTGTGTTCGTAAATGCGTCCGTTGTGTACGATATGCCGCTCGTATAAGACACCAGTTGATGGGACAACTACCGGTTGAAAGATCTACTGCTTGTCGACCTTTCTTAAAGAGTGGAGTAGACTATGCAGGGCCTATTAATATAAGAACCTCTAAAGGCAGAGGTAATCGGTCATTCAAAGGATATATTTGTTTATTCATTTGTATGGCCACACGTGCTATCCATCTCGAAGCAGTAAGTGACCTTACAGCTCAGGGATTTCTAGCAGCGTTTAAGCGTTTTATAGCACGCCGTGGTCATTGCGCTGAAGTATGGAGCGACAATGGGACAAATTTTGTGGGTGCAGCACGAGAACTCAAATCTTTATATGCTCATGAGAGGTCCAGTATAGGGAAGGAAATTGCAGATCAACTGGCTACAAATGGGACTGAATGGCATTTTATCCCTCCCCATTCCCCAAATTTTGGAGGACTATGGGAGGCAGGGGTAAAATCGACGAAACATCATTTAAGGCGCATTGTTGGCAATTCAACTTTGACATTTGAAGAAATGACAACATTACTTTGTCAAATAGAATCTTGTCTGAATTCTCGGCCTATTTCTAAAATTACTGACAATCCAGACAATCCAATCCCACTGACACCAGGGCACTTTTTGGTGGGAGAACCTCTGGTTTTACCCCCCTGATGTCAATTACGAAACATCCAATATCACAAATCTCAGACGGTCGCAAATGACTCAAAAAATGACACAAGATTTTTGGCGTCGTTGGTCAAATGAATATTTGACTCAGTTTTACCATCGTTATAAATGGAATAATATTGTTCCTGAACCTACAAATGGAGATTTAGTGTTAGTAGTGGAGGATGATCTTCCACCTGGAAGATGGTTATATGGTATTATAGTTGAAAAACATCCCGGATTGGACGGAATTACGCGAGTTGTCAGTCTAAAATGTAAAAACAATGTAATTAAACGACCTGTTTCTAAATTGTGTTTTTTGCCAATTACCAACTAATGTTGATTTTTTTGTTGGCTCTCGAGCCTCATATGTTCGTTTTAGCACGTATTAGTAAGAAAGCATGCAATGTGGTAATATTTTATTTTGTATTTTTTTTTGTGTTTGATGTTAAATTCTCGTAAAGATTTTCGTTAGTATTCATGTGTTGATCGGTTAGTTGTCTTAAGGAAAATTTTTGAAAATTTGTCCTTGGTGGGCTGTATGTTTACGACCTACCGTCACTTTATTTAATATTTTTGTTCACGCGATTTGTAATATGCATTGTCATTGTGTCATCTTAGCGTCTGAGTATTGATCACATCTAACATAAAAATTTATGTTGTAATTAATATAAACCTGTGCTAAAGAAAGTAATGTGTACTTAAATTGCTCATTGTTAACATTCAAGTTGAAGGAAATAAACCGAAAGTTCATATGTATGCAGTTTTATCATTTCACAATTTCAATTGGTGTTAACAAAAAAAACGTAGATGAAAGCCATCAGCGATACATAAAGAGGGAGTTATATTCAATAACATAAAATAAATATAAAATTACATAAATAAATAAAAGCCCAACCAGATGGAGGCCCTCGGCAGGGGAGACCAAACGGCCGAGGGTTAGGGGGAAAGGGAAAGAAACCGGCGGACGATGCGGGCGGTATCGAGGAGCACCGCCTTCTGCATTTGAACCTGGAGCGGTCTGCCACGTAGTCCCAGCCGCCTCAGATGACCCGAGAGGCTGACTGGGATTAACCCATTTGCAGAGACGACTACAGGAATAATTTCGGTTGGCAGACCACCCCACATGTCGGTCACCTCGTGAGCCAGGTCCAGATATTTTGTTTGCTTGTCTGTTTCGGCTTTCACGAGGTTCTCGTCATACGGAATGGTGATGTCGAACAAAAATATCCTTGACTGTGCACGGTCCATCAGCACAATATCAGGCTTATTCGCAAGAATAGTCCTGTCTGTGATGATGGCGCGGTCCCAATAGAGCCTGGCGCGATCATTTTCGAGCACGGCTTCCGGCAAGTACTTGTAATACGGCAATTTCCGATCCACTAGACCGCATTTCAGAGCGAGCTCCTGGTGTAGAATTCTGGCTACTAGGTTGTGCCTGTGCAAGTACTCAGAGTTAGAAAGCGCTGAACAACCGGAGATAACATGCCTAAGTGACTCACCGGGATGGCGACAAGCTCGACAGATGTCGACGGTGCCATCCTTTAGGATGTATCTCCGATAGTTGTTGGTCTTAATAACCTGATCCTGTATTGCACAGACAAAACCCTCGGTTTCCCCGAAGAGATCACCAAAGCGTAGCCAGTGGAGGGAGGCTACTGTGTCTACGAAAGGCTCATGTAGAGCCTTGTAGAACCTCCCGTGGAGCTCCTTCTCCTTCCATACGGTCTCCCGGTCGGAAATGCTCTGCACTGCCGGGTCTTGCCATTGCTCGTTGGCTAAGGATAGAGGGGTAAGTCCTTTATCACAAGAAATGACGTCCTTATAGAATGGATCATCAGATCTCGCCAGGAAGTAATCACGGAGACTGCACACTTCGCGATTATGCATGGTGAGCGCGCTCAAGAGGCTACGACAACCATGCTTCCGCGACAAGTACAGCCTCATTACAGACGATCTCGGATGATGCATCTTATGGGACGTCATGGTAGTGCGGACTTTTCTATCCAGGGCGTTAATTTCAGTCTGAGTCCACCTGAGTATGCCAAAGGTATACATGAGGACAAGCATGACCCAGCCGTTATATGCGTGTGCCTTATTCACACCGGACAAAAGGCTGTTAAGCACTTTGGTCAAGCGTGCATAAAACACGTCGCAAACTGACTGTTTCATACCAGTCTCATCGATACCGATGTTTTGTGACATACCCAGGTATCGGTATGTTTCAGCCTCGGAAAGGGTCCTTAAGTTGACGGGCATAGATAAGTCTACGCCCTCAGAGTTAGCAACCCTTCCCCTTTCAACATGGAGCACCGCACACTTATCCGTCCCAAGCTCCATTCCAATGGAATTGCTAAATTCACAAGTGATGTTTAGCAATTCCATAAGATGGGAGCGACTGGAGGCAAATAACTTGAGGTCATCCATATAGAAAAGGTGGGTCACTTTTGTCCCTCCTTTCCGTAGCTGAAATCCTCTCCCGGAGCCCTCCAGTAAGGTACTGAGAGGGTTCAGAGAGAGGCAGAACCAGATTGGACTCAGACAATCGCCCTGGAAGATACCGCTTCTTATCCTTATGTGGTTCTCCGCAGCCATCATCCGCTCGCCCAGATGACAAAGGATCGTACTCCACTGCCCCATACACTGCTCGAGGAAGTCTCTAACTGTACAGTCTATCTTGTACAGCTCGAGAACTCTCTTTAGCCATGTATGGGGCACCGAGTCGAATGCCTTTCTGTAGTCTATCCAGGCGGCGGAGAAGTTCCGACGGTTGCGTTTCACCACTTTGCCAATGACCGCGTCAATGAGGAGTGGTTCCTTGGTTCCACGACCACCGCCCCGACATCCATTTTGAGCGCGCGACATCACCTGATTTGAGTCCAGATGACAAGTGATTCTCGCGCTCAAAATGGATGTTAGTGTCCTGTATATGGTCGGTAGACACGTGATGGGGCGGTATTTGCTCGGGTCTGTGGTACCCTGGTCTTTAGGAACCAAATGAGTGATCCCAGTAGTGAAGAGGCTTGGGAGCGACTTCTGGTTGAGAGCCTCTTGAAACTGTCACACACCATGAACCCCTTCAGCCAGTAGTGATGCAGCCCGTCAAGCCCCGGACTTTTCCAGTTCGGGGCCCTACGGACCGCCTCAGCTACGTCATCCGGCGTTATGATGACGGGGTCCATGGGCGTAATACCCGCACACTGACTCGCCACAACTTCCGTCCAAGGGCCCTCGCTGTGGTTTATGGACTCTGACCACAGGCCGCGCCAGAATGCTACAGTGTCGGCCTGATTCGGTGCTGGACCCGTTCCACTTACCATTGGTCGCTCCAATGATTCATAGAGCCTCTTCTGATCACTCTGGAAGAGACGATTCTGGTTGAACCGTGTCGACCTCTCGGTATATCGCCGAATCCACTTTCCCCAAGCAGCGATTCTCTGCTTCAGATCATCTATGCGCTCCGTCAGTTTTTGCGTTATATCCGGCTGGGACAAACTGACATTTGTCCCAGCAAACGCCATCCTGACGTAGCGCACAATTATTGGCCTGTTGTTGCCTGATCTGAAGCATATCAGCTGCCGATGAGAGCTTAGCCTTTGCGATACGTTCCTCAATTCTTCTTCTCCATGCTGGGATAGCGCTACTATGGCCAGTAGCCCGTCCAGCCGTGGAAACCTTGGCGCCTATGATACGGCAGACTGCCAGCGCGGCGCCAAAAAGAATTGAGTCCGTCTCGCAAAGGTCCCGGCTGGCTTCCAAATAGTTCACCAGCATTGGGTTCAGAGCCCTCACGACAGCCCGATTCCGCTTGCTTAGGCCTATGCGGGGAAGTCGCGGTCGATTTTCGAGAGGCGTACTGCGCGTTTCCACAATCGCCTCTTCCAATGTACTCCTCATATGCTCTAATTCCAGTTCCTGGGTGACTGTTCCATCATCGCTTGAATCAACCACAACTGGGGTATTCACGGTGGCATCCACGTTTGCGGGTTGCTCTACCACTTGTGGCGCCGCATCCTCAGCCGTAGCATTCTCATCCGACGAGGGAACAGCCCTACGTCGTAGCCGTTCGAGTTCGGCGATATCAAATATATTTGAGCGCATGATATACCGAACTCGGTCTGCCAGGTTTTGCTCTGTGACGGTTAAAGATGGCTCCAGCTCACCAAAAAGATGATGCATCCTAGCCCGATACGCCAAACATCCAGTTTCTCCCCCTTTCGCCCTAAAATACGCCCGCAATGCATTGCCGTTCATCTGGGTTGTCCAACGCATGCGGCGTACTCCACCAGAGGCGGGTGCCGATTGCTGGGCCCGCGAAGACCCTGCCGACAACAAGCCAGCTGGTGGGGATGATGGATGCGAGGGGCTGCTAGGTGGTCGTGCAGCACCTCGCGCTCGGCTGACGGTTCGCATGCTGCCGCGTCCAGCGCCAGCTCCAGACGCGCCCTGGCGACCTCCAGGCAGCGGCCCTTTGCGCGTTCTATTTAATTCCATCATCCATTTTTAGGGCATCATTTAGCGGGAGACGCCCAGACCCGGCGCCGTTTCATGTTGAGGCCATATGCACAAGCGGGCCTTTGCACCTTCAATTTTTGCCGAGGCACGGCACTAACACCTCTTGGCAAGGTGCTGACTGACTGCGCTGATGTAGCGGTTTTGTCACATAACCGTTACGTCAGCGGGCGATGGGGTCGTCACTTCCCTACGCCTATTTTAATTATTATTATTATTATTCTTTTGTGAAGTTCTTAAAGTATATAGATTATAGTAAACTGGGACAGCTGAATATCGGCATTATATTTCCTTTAAATAGTGGTTGCGCCAACCCGCGGAAAGATGCGGAAGACCCGCGCCGCCATCGTCGTCACAATGCAATTTTCATCGTGCTCGCATAGGCATCTATTGAAATTTGGATGTTTTTTAATTTCAATAGCCTCGCGTATCATCCTTGGTAGGAATCGGTGTTCTTTTGCGAGGATTTAAAAAACATTCAAATATCAATAGAGAAGATGGATGGGTGCTGCCACCTGCTTGGGATCCTATAATTAACAAAATTAAACCCAAAACTAAGCACACCACTGCAAGACTTCATGATACTATAAGCTCGTTTTGTGTAAATCGGACCAAAAATTAATATTCAAAAACTGAAGGTAGTCGGACTACTATGACATTGGCTTGTCAAACATCTCAGTCCCCCCGTGACCATGGGTGCTGTAAAGCACCCGAAACGTCGGGAATTAAAAATAAGTAAAAGTAGTGAAATAAACGCGATAAAATCCGTAAATTTAGTTTTGTTCAATGTGTAGTGTTCGCGTAAATTTAAGAAATCATTATGTGAACGTATGGTTTTTAAGTAATATATTTATTAAAATTAAATCAGTTTTTACTGATTCCAGCGGATGGTAGCACCCAGCCATCAACTCTTTCGAAATTAGGATGGGTTTTGATTTCAATGTGTTCACGATTCGTATGTAATCAGATCAATATAAAGTGTTTTAATTTTATTTGTGAACGAGAGATGTCGCTAGTAGTGGATTACCTCGCGATATTGTTCCCCGGATATTTAATTGCATAATGTTTTGTGTACTTAATAAAAAAGAACGATATTGGAAGAAAGTAATACATATACCTAATCAAGATATTTGTTGGTTTTATTTAAAAATACCAATAGATATTTAGCCCGCTACGTACGAACGTATTCATGGTCCTTCGAGCCGGATTGTCTCTCGACTTTATGTGAGCCCAATGACTCGAATCTAGTGATGTTAGGATCTCCGAAACGCGATTCGCAACAAAAGTCTTCCAACGACTAGGATGATCCTTAAACCACGTTAACACAACAGTTGAATCTGTCCATGCTCGTACATTATACAAAGGAATTTTTAAAACTTCTGCGACTTCTAAAAGCAAGCGCGTCAGTAGTACAGCATCACATAACTCTAAACGAGGAATGCTAATTCTTTTTATGGGAGCGACTCTCGTTTTAGCAGCAAAGAGGGACACGTAAACGTCGCCTTTACTGTCCATTATGCGAATGTACACGACTGTTGCGTATGTTATATTAGAAGCGTCCGAAAACCCCTTGCAATTCGACACTTGAATCAGTTGTCTTTGTTCCGCACCATCGAGGAATATGGATTTTCGTGAGTAGTGGTAACTCTTCACGGTAAGTCAGCCATTCCTTTAATAATTTCATTGGAAACTCTGCATTCCATTCTGGACCAGTTAGCCATAGCCTTTGTATAAATGATTTCGCTACTACAATACAAGGTGCTATCCAGCCCAATGGGTCAAATAACCGTGCTATGTCTGAAATAATACGTCTTTTTGTTGCAGGTTTGACCAGAACCGGAAGCTGCACTGAGAAATGGAACTCATCATTACTGCGACTCCAGGTAAGTCCCAATATTTTTATTGTAGAATCTAGTTTATTTCTAGATTTTGCCTTTCTTTATTTTTATCATACTCCAACCAATGCATTCTCTATCCTCATCCTTCCTTATCTCTTTAAGTAGTTCGTTTTTATTTCTATTCCACGTTTGTAATTGAAAACCTCCTCCCTTTAATAATTTCTTCATTTCCTTATATATTTCAATTCCTTCTTTTACAGTTTCACAGCCAGTCATAGGATCATATATATAGAAATCTTTTAATATTATATTCCTTACATGAACGTACTTCTCTCCGTCATCAATCGCTAACTGTTGCAGAACCTTAACGGCTAAATGTGGAACAGACGCCGTACAAAAAGTTACCGTTACCAGCTCGAAATCTTGGATTTTACTTTCCTGATTATTTCTCCAGACTATTCGCTTATATGCTGCATCTTCATCAGTAACACGGACTTTTATAATATCGGCTACCATTGCCATTGGGTGACATCTCCAGCGTAAGACAAGGGGACGCAAGTCGGATTGTAAAGTAGGGCCGACCATTAAAACATCATTTAGTGAAACTCCATTTTTGTTTTTAGTAGATGCATCAAAGACTACCCTAAGTTTGGTGGTGACCTTGTCTTCTCTTACAACCGCGTGATGTGGTAAGTACACTCCTTCTTCTTTACTATCTACTGGCCTCATATGATTCAAATTCAAGTATTCCTGAATTACATTTGTATATCTGTTTCTAAATTCTTCATCCTTTACTTTCCTCTCTAAAGCTAACAATCTTTTCACAGCTATCTCTCGTGAACCACTTTGTTTACAGGATGGACCTTCATCACGAAACGGTAATTTCACCACATATCGACCTTCTGCTGTTTTTCTCGTCGTCGCTGCGAAAATCTCCTCACATTTCAGCTCTTCCTCGGTAAGTATCCTTTTAGATATACCTGATTGATCTGATTCTATTTCCCAGAATTTTTTAAGAATTTCATCTTCTTTGATCTGAGAGTGCAGTACTGTAACTGCTGGTGAGTTGTCGCAATCTTCAGACATTACAAGACCACCCTAAGTTAGTGCATTGTGCAATAGGAGTTCGAGTAGGACTTCTCGTTACTCGTTCCTTCAAAATCTGGCAGTAAATGTCTGCACCAAGCAGAATGTAAATTTTATTAGGTAAATAATATTCTGGGTCTGCCAACTGATCATTTTGTATTTCAGCCCAAGGTAAACAGGCAACCTTTTTACCAGGTAGGTAAGTAGTAATATTATATAAAACATAAGCTTTCACTTCAAGGTGAAAACTGGGATCAGACAGTGATTGAATTTTAATAGAAACCATGTACTTCGACACCACCGAAGACTGATTACCGCCTAGTCCTGTAATAACTCCCTTCGCCGGTATCTTTTTTAACTTTAATAATTGAACTGTGTTTTCAGTAACGAACGATGCTTGTGAGACCTGATCGAGCAAGGCTCTAATAATTTTGAAATCGCCAAATTTTGACTTAGCTTTCACTAGAGCTGTTGCTAGCAAAACCTGTCTAATGATCTTTTCTGTCGAAAAGCAGGATAATATTGGCGTTGTTTCGGTTTAACTACTAGCCGTTACACTTTTTTCATTTTTTGTAACGGCCTTGTCTGTTTGTCCACTGTGTACGACTGATGTAAATTTAGGGTGAAAAAGTGAGTGATGCCGCTTTTTACAAATACAACAAGAAACATCTATGCTACAATATTTTGCAGAGTGATTACGTCCTAAAAAATTTAGACATAAATTATTATTTAAACCAAATTCATGTCTTTTATTGCATTCCTCCTTTGCGAACTTCTTGCAAAAACATAGTTTATGGTTTTCTGTACAATATTCACATTGAATATTTTTTGATGACAGAATGATTGCATGATGAGTGTGTGAGTGTAAATGTTGAGCGTGTGATGGTCGATTGTATTGAAATGTAGGTTTATTATTGTCTAAATATTCCAAAGCCCTAAATCGACCCTCTATAAAATTCAAAAATTGTTCATAGGTAGGTAATTCTGTGCAACTGTCACTCGATATATTTATCTCCCACTGCTTACGGGTTTCAAGATCTAATTTATCTGTAAGTATGTATATAATAATAATATCCCAGGTGGCCATATTAATGTTGAGATTTCTCAACGCCTTTAAACAATCAGACGTTGTGTCCAATAGGTCCGTTAACCCATTGGCAGATTCTACATTCATACGCCTTTGTTAGATATTTTTTGTTATCATACCTTTTTTCTAATAATGCCCAACACTGACTGTAGTTTAATTCGGTAATAGGTATATGCCTGACTAATTGCTCGGCTTCACCTGTTAAAAAACCCTTTAAATACTTAAGTTTATGTACATCATCAAAGGATGTATTATTATACACTAAAGACGTGAATAAATCCCTAAAAAGTGGGCCACTCAGTATACTTCCCGAAAACGGGTTAATAGTAATGTATGCGCGGAAATGAATATTTTATTTCTTTTAGATAAAATGTGACTTTATTTTGTTCATTAACAAATTAAGAGTTTTACATGCGTGTTGACAAGACGAACTCTGCGTGAGCTATGTATGACATTAGAGAGAGGGGACGAAAGATGACGTGATGTCACTGCGCCGGCTCGCGATGACGTCGACCAATCACAGCCTCTCCACCTTGACGTGATACTTTAATGCGCGTACATGCTCCCGGCCTTGAAAGCACCATGTATTTTCAACAAACAGTCATTACATCTCTTCTGAAAACAACGGACAGATTTTTGGAAATGCCCGTCGTACAGTACCATTCACTGTTCTAATATCTGCAACTCTGGAGACACCATCGTTTCCAGGGAACGTGTTGATAATTCTTCCCATTCTCCATTTTAAAGGTGGTTGATTGTCATCCTTTATAAGTACGAGAGTGTTCTCCTGTAGATCGCCTTTATGCTCAGTCCACTTGGTCCTCACTTGCAGCTCAGATATATACTCCTTAGACCATCTGCTCCAGAAGTGCTGGCGTATCTGCTCGACTCTTTGATAACGTGTAAGACGATGCTCTGGAACAGTATTCAGGTCAACAGACACAGGTGAAGTTAATGGACGGCCTACCAAG